TTCAGCTTTCTATCTTTAAGAATGTAGAAGTTTTGTAAACAGACACACGGACAGACGGACGGACGGACGGACGGACGGACGGACGGACGGACGGTCGGACGGACGGACGGACGGACGGCCGGACAGAGTGAAACTAATAAGCACTTTTTTTCAAAAAATTTTTGTAAAAGTGCTAAAAATAAAATTTTGATGCGAATATGCTAGCAAGACACATTGCAAGTAATCAGTTGATTTGGTCTTGGGATGTTATTTACGAAGTGTACTGCAGAAGACATATTTGGCGTATCAACTTTTGACTTATCCGGTAGTTAGTTTAATAACAAAATTTTCTACTAGTAAAGAATATTTTGTGAAAAAAATTAGGTTATCATTAAACGGTTATATTTACGAACAATTTCTTTTCAAAAATCCAATTGTAAAAAGAAATAAAATAATTATTTGCTATTTCAAATGTTCTTCAAACATTTTCGAAAATTCAAAATTTAAAATAACTTTACAATAGAAAATACTTTATTGTTAGAAAGCTTAAAAACTCTGATTTCTTCTTTTTATGGTTTTTGTAAAAATTTTTATTTTATAGTCTAATCTTCATAAAATCTTCAATATTAAAATTAATATAAAATATTAAAAAAAATATTCATATGACAATAAAGTAAACGGACGTAGGCTTTCCGGTATAGTTTCAGTTTTACTCTTTGAAAAAGAAAAAAAAAATTATAATTTTTAACACCTTTTTGAAAAATTTATACGCTCTTATACGCACCAATATACACATTGATACTATAATGATAACCGCGCCACCAAGTTAAAATGTTTACGAGTGCCAAAACCAATTTATAATTTTCTCCAATAAATTTGTGTAAATATAAAAATATACTACATTCCTGTTTACAATGCTATACAAAGTAGTTTTTCTTCAAACTGTACAAGCGTGAACGGGTATAGACAATTGATATCAAATTTATGTTAAAGATTTTTTTAAATTGCTTTTTTTTAATAATAAAATTTAGTTTCCTATAGTTTAAAGTAATTGATTTTAGGATTTGTACAAAATAACACATTGTTATGCTACAAGTATGCCAAATTTTAAATTGGTTTTATTGAACAAATGCTGTAACTATATTGAGAGTTTTAAATATTTTTTGCCTAACTATGAAATAAATTTTTAGTTTTCACATATAATTTTAAAATTTGTGCGTTAATTCTATTGCTAAAAAATTGATGTTCGTATAGAATTTTTTTTTTGGCACATCAGTTCTTGCTTGCTTCTCTTGCTTATACTGTAAAATTTGTTTTTGCAACTAATTTGTGTAAAATTTTACGACTCTGAAAGTGATAAAAATTATTTTTTTTAATAGGATAGTTAAGTATAATTATACTATACGACTATGTAATTTTATTTCTATTGAAATTACTTTTAACCGTATAGTTGAGTAGATTAACTATTAAAAAATTTTTTCTTTTTTTATTATTTTAATATTTTTTTATTACTACTTTTTGTCTCATATATGATTTTTGTATTTTTCTTTGCGCTAAAAAATGAAAAACCTATTTAACTACCTTGAATATTGATATCAAATTTCAAGAAAAATATGGAAAAATTAAATAAACTATATATAAGAAAACAAAAATAAAAGAAAAACAAAACATAAAAACACATAAGTAACACAGAAACGTTACTGAGAGCTTTAAAATTTACCCGCTTGAGTTTTGTGTATATTTGTGACATTTAACAGGCATAAAATGGTGGAAATATTTTTCAAAACAGCAACGACACAATATCTATAAAATCGGAATTATGAATTTGTAATCAAATATAAGTATGGCTAGTTATGGTTTTAATTTTTTTCTCATACTAAAATACTTTTTATTAAAAAAGCGCGTTATAATGAAGGAAAAATGTTTCAAATTACATTCCTACATATTAAGAATAAAAAAGAAAAATTATAAGAAGAAAATGAAAGAAAAAAAAATTTTTCTTCTTTAATTTTGATGAAGACATTTATAAAATTATTATTTATGAGCAATTGCATTTAATTAAAAAGCGCGTATATTTTAACCTAAAATCAAAAAAAGAAAAAAACAACAAAAGTGAAAAATTGACGTCTTTAGTGTCAGAATGTCTTTAACAAACGGCAGTTTGTTCAAGTTTATAAAGTGAGTGTTTTACAAAGGTGTTATAATTATGGAAAATAGTTTGTTTTTAAATGTCATATTTTGTACATTTTCAGTAATGTTTAGTTTTTATATGATTTAATATTAAACAGTGGTTTAGAAATAGCAAATAAGGGCAACACTCCCGATTTTACTTTTTCCAACACAAACAGTTCCGTTGGTTGGGATGATATAACACTTTAAACAAACAATATAACACCTTACTCCTAGATATAACACCTTAAACAAACAATTGATTAGTCGAGAACTGGAGAGTGTCTGGCAAGAAGTATCCCTTACCATATTGGAACCAAAGGAAAATGAATTGTGTTAAATTTTGGATTATCGTGTGGAACAAGCTCATGCTTAATATGGCAAACAATATTCATATAATGTGAGTGAAGGCTCAAGTCAGTTTGAGAAGGTCATGGGTGCGGCCTTCTGCTCTTGAATGATTATGTGCCTTCTCTGACGATGGAAAAGGCAAACAACCCTCCCAAGATTATATAAGTGGGGCTTTAAGTTCGACGCCCGCAAATGCCTTTAATATATTTCTCCATTTACTTTTGGCGGAATTACATTTTAAAAAGCTGTGCTGTCTGACTAAGGGAGGCTGAGCGCTGGAACCTAAGATGTCAATTTTAAAGAACGTACGACAGTTTGTAGTATATTTCATAATATACGTATATAAATATTGAATTTTACTAATATTACAACTTCTATATGCTGTAGTTAAACTGAGCCAACATCAAATATTACTATCGTATAGTATATTTATATAATAGCCTGTATGAAAGAACGAATCACATATAGAAGATAATAGTACTCGTACTAGCTATATATAATACTGATATATATTCTAAGGTTAAAGTACAATAAAATTCCTTCTTAGGCAACATTAACTGTAATCTCAACTTTTATTCAAATAACCCTCTCTCTATTTAAAATAATAATCTATTTTATTCAAACAACGCAACAAAATTTAATAATTATTGAGTAAAATTATGTTACTTAATATTCAACAATAATTGATAAATTTACAATTTTTTTAGCAATACATAAAATAAAAATCCCTACAAACTCATACATAAATTTTAAAATGAAAAATTTTCACGCCAACAAGCAAATCTATAAACATAGATGCATATTGCAGTTTTGAAATATTAGCTTTTCTTCTACAGAATAAAACAAAGAAAAATAACAAAAAAAAAAATCAAAAAACATGTTATAAATTTTTAATAAAAATAGCAAAAAAAAAAATGAGAGAAAAAGAAAAACATTAAAGCAAATGCAACCTAAAAATTATTGTGCAAACTATCGTGACAATTAGTGAAACTTGATCAATGATTTGAGGTGAGCAAAAAAGAAAAACTAGAGAAAAGAAGAAAAAATTTTGCTATAGAAATTTTTTCATTTTATTACAAGAAAATTATTATTGTTCAATGTACAACTATATATATGTATGTATGTATGTAACTAGGAATAAAAAATGGAATAAAAATTCACGTTTTAATATAAAACGTTTTTCTTAATGAATTTTCCTTTCCCTTTTCTCTATTGTAAAATTATCATATGAAATTTCAGTTTATTATAAATTAAATTTCACTTCTTCTAAATCTTATTAAATCTCGAAAATTATATAATATTTTTTAATATAGTTAGAATTAAATCTCACGTTAAACAAGCAAAGAAACAAAAAAAAAATATTTTTATCAACATGATTTCAAGGAATTTCAATATTTTTAATAATAAATTTTATATAATTGCAATATGCAATTGAATTTTAAATGAAAATTTGTAATAAAATTTCTATGTATAAAACTTTTGAAATAATGTGCAAGTATAATAAAAATAGCTTTACATTTATATTGTAAGAAATATTGAATTTCAATGTACAATAGTTTAACATTTTTATAGTTTTAATTTATTGTAAATTAATATTTAGAGAGTATAGGGAAGAAACTGGTCATATTTATTTCCTGACGTATCCTTCGTACACATATACAGCAATAATTTATAAACTTATAAAATCTGTTATATAACTCATAAAATGTGGTAAACTGTGTCTACATGTGTGTATATGTATATGTATTTATAAATATATTATTTTTATAAAATTTTATCTTCATTTATCGCGTGGCATTGAGATTCCATATTTTTTAAATGAATATACATTGTATGAAATGTACAAGGTAAATTTCTACATACCAATACGCCATCTATATAGTTTATTTTACACAATAATGGCGAGTGAACTATAAAAATTTTTTATATTTAATAAATAGAGAAATGTTATCATTCGAATATTAATTTGAAATTTATCTTATAAACATTTTCATTTTGATTGAATTGTGTGTACATATTACATACAATACTTTTTAGATTATGGCGGTAGATGGTGTTTTAGTTTTATGTCATTTTATGTGTAAAATAAAAGACTATTTTGACTTTTATTATATCGTATTACATACGGGAGGTATTATAAAAAGAAAACTGAATATTAAATTCATTTTTATGAATATTAAGAAGAAAATAAATAGTTAAGTTTAGTTTAAGATAAAAGTGGGCATGTATATGAAAAATTTTTAAGAATTCATTTGAAATTGTCATATTGTTAATATTAAATGAAATAATAATTGTCATCAGAGAAAAAATTAAATAAGAATCGCATATTCAACTTCACATATTGACTAAAATAATTTTCAATCTGAGTGTAATTCGATTTTTCCGGAAATATGTAAGTCATAATCAAAATATTTACAATTCAGTTACATATTTTGTTTACGAAAATATTATTAAGTTTGAGTGATAATGTTTTAGAATTTTTTTTTAATTTAAAAACTTACCCTATGGTGCAAATTAATTATTACGTCTCAGAGGTGAAGATTTTGTGTCAGCAATATACATAATAAAAGTTTGAAGAAAATTTCATTGATCCCATTTAATTTTTTAAGAATAAATTGATCCAAGAATAAATAAGTAGGTTGCTTTGTCACCAAATTTATTTTATTTGTCGTTTGGTTGAAAATCTTATGAAATATTTTTAAATCCAAAAGAAATTTGAAATCTGAAAATATTAAAAAAAAATACAAATAAAATTAATTAAATTTCTAAAATATTTTTTTTTTTTTAAATATGGTGGATGAAATTTAACCAAAATATAATTTCTTGGTCAATAACTTTAAATATGTATAATGTACAAAGATTATTGTTTTCATATTGATTTTAATACTATAAGTTCAATATTCTTTTATTATTGGTAACAATTAATAATTTATGTACACATTTTGAGTAAAAATGAATTCATCTTTACCATAAAGGTCGGTTCAGAAAGGTTCATATATACATATATGCTGTGTGTGCATATTTGGACGTATTCATATGGATAACGTAAATAAGCGTACTATCTGGCTTAACATATTCAGTAAAGTAAACAGAAAAAGAAGAAGAAGCAAAAAAGATATTGAAAAATAAAGAATTATAAAAAAAAAGCATCAAAACAAAATAGAAAAATTCTCATGACTCTTCAAAAATTTTCCAATGAAATAGATGAATTGCATATAGTTATAAGATCTTTAAAGAAATTATTAAAAAGAGATCAGCTTTATAAGATAATAGTAGTATATATATACACATAAAGTGTGTATATCCACGATTATATGTGTAAGAATTAAGTTACAAAAAGTTCAAATATTGTGAAAATCAACTTTTCTTAAAATAAAAGTCACTTCGGTTATTTGTCTGTCAAAATTACAAATAAAAATATAAGAAGACGTCATCCATAAAAGACAAGAAAGGTAATCTGATCACAAACACACAATAATAACTTGAAAAGAGAAACAATTGAATTAAGCCAAGAAACCCCCGAAAGAGTATCGGAAGAATACAGCATTATCGTCTTCGCTTTAACACCAAGCCCCTAACCTAAAATGAATTAAGGGACATAATCATGAGATTGACAAACAAAAAATTTGGTCAACGGTCTTGACGGAATGCCACTGAATTTGTTGGGATTGACCACGACCTGGCAGGTACACTTCTCGGGTCTCTATTACGGACCCAAGAAGATTTGACATGAAGAAATAATAGATAACAAATAGAAAGAAGGAATACTTATAAAACTGTGGAAGGAAGGCAATCTTCAAGAATGCACAAATTAGCGAGGTATCACTCTTTCCACTAAAACATATAAAATAGCGCTACTCGTAACTGAAGCTTATGAAAAGAGTTAAGAAGATGCTGAGGAGTTTTAAATCAGACTTGACCAAAAGCTGAAGGATCTTGAGTACGCAGACGATATATGCCTCTTAGCTCATACAGTCATACATAAGCGGGTATGCAGACCAAAATAAACCTCCTAGAAAGGGAAACTATAGGAGTCGGCCTCAAGATCAACACCAACAAAATTTAATCCCTGAGAATGAATGCAACAAATAATACGCCCCTTCAACTAGGCGACAGCCAATTGAGGTTGTAGTCCAATTCAACTACCTGGACAGCATCGTGGCAGGCGATAAAGGAACGAAACCGGATATGTACACCGAAGGTTGTTGAAAGCGATTATGAAAGAGAAGGTGTAAAAGAAAAGAGAAGGTGTAATACATGGTGATGAACCATACTTGAGGAGCTCGAATCAAATGGAAAATGCTTGGCAGAATTAAATGCCTAGCTTAAAACAAAGTTCCATTCACAGGATTTGTTGAAGCCCTATGCTCTCACGGCGAATGAACAAAGGAGAAAAAATGATATAATATAAAAAGATAGATTTTGGTAAATAGTTATCTCTATTTAAAATTTTGTATTGAAATACATAGTTCAATTAAAAACTCAGCGAGTAAATCAATGCTGTCACTTTGAAAATAAAATATTTTATTGAATAAATATTGAAAGCCAATACACACAGAGAAAATATCTTTATAACTAAAATTAAAAATTATTAAAAAATACTCAACTTCATATATATATGTATACGTACACATATATTATACACAGCCGTCTTTAAATCAAAAAACTCTGGGATAAGGATCTCCTAAAGGAGAATAATTGTATTTACATATTTTGTAAATATAATTCGTATTTGAAGTAAAAAGCTTTAGGATTATTGTCAATTTGATGTATTCAAAATTTACCCGATGTCACTACGTCGTTTAATGTATTGGATCGTTTTTAGAAACCTCTATAACTGAATTTGTATGCACAACAATATTTGACAAATTAACGGTAGTAGGCAATTGATTGCGTTAAATTGATTTTCATGTTTCAAATGTATTTTATGGTTTTGCTTTCTTCTTTGTTTTTTGATTATTGTTGGTTCGGTTTTAAAGTCTTATATAATTCTATGTACCACTATACAGGTTTACAAGATATATAGTTTTTTTTTTTTACTTATTTATTCATGCATCGAAATAATTTCGCTTTACTTTTTCATATAAATGTTAACAGGGCATGATTCCTTGTTTTGCTTTGTATTGTTATATTTCGGTTTGTGTATAATTACGGATTTGTTGTTATATTTACACATATTTAAGTATACTGTTGTATAATGTACATATGTACATATTTTGTATGCATACTTCAAAGTATCTTCGAATAATTTTTGGAGCAGTATGTTACAAACACGTACGTGTATGTGTGGTTATATATATATATGTATATATATTGGAGATTATATATTTGTATAGAGGTATTGCTCCTAATAATTTTACAAAAGTAATTCAAAATGTCTAAAGTGATGTCAAGTACAAGAGTCTGTCCGTCAAATAATAAGAACAATAATAAGAAAAAATGAAAACTAAAATAAGAAAATGATTTTTAAAATTGTTTAAATCCCTTGCGGGTAAAGTAAACATTTTAAACAACAAGAAAAAAATTAACGTAGTTATTTTTCAATGAAATTTGAAAAAGATTTTTTTTTCAGTAATATGAAAAAATAAGGTGTTTGTATGCTTTTTTTTAAATTTTTTGAAGTGGAAGATTTTTTTGTTTTCTTCTCGTTGTTTTTTTTTCTTTAGTTATTTCGTAACTTAAAACAAATAATATGTAAAAATGTTCAAATTCATTTGGTTTTGGTTTAAAATATTTCTTTTTTTTTTTTTGTTTTTTTAGTTTTTTGAATTTAATTTTCAAGTATAAGTATGTATGAAGTTTTTTTCTCAGTGTTTTACTTATTCCTTTTGTGTTACATACATTAAATTTCCTGTTGTTACTGTTGTCTTTACTGTCAAAATATTGTGCGATACCTTCGAGGAAAATTTGTCAATTTTATTCTTTATTGCGATACTGTTGTTTTTGGTGTGGTATTCAAAGGTATTTTTACATATATGAACGTTATATAATGTAAGTTTGGGTGCGTGTGTGCGTACACGCGCAAACAAAAAAAAAAGTTATTTGAAAAACTATGCATAATTTGTGTTGATTTCGGGGGAAAAAGGTGCATTTATTTAAAATGCTTTAAAAATAAACAAATATATTTTTGGGTTAGAAATTTCATTTAGTTGGAATTCAATTTAATTTATTTGTTTATAAGCACATATGTACACATATGTTAAAAAAGGTTGTAGTATCAAATTGTTTTTATCAATAGCCAGGCCTGGTTCTGAGACTTTGTCTAAAATGTGCGGCTCTTCCCCTTCACCGCCGCATAATAAATCATTTCCTTGTAATTTTATCATGCTGAGTGCAAGGCTAGTCATAGAATTAGAGAGCAGAATTAAACTTCCAATTTCTTGTTTTATAAAAAATTAGAAAAATTTTTAGTTTTCTTTAAATTTTCAATGGCGACCATGTTTTTCTCACGTCCTTTGCAAATGCTTACTTTGCATATATGGTAGACACGGCACTGTCAGCATCTTAACTTACATACGTTTCTATATAAACACATAAATACAAATATTAAGGTTGACTGTTAACTATTGTTAAGATAATCATAATATTCTATTTACTTTCATATATGATTAGAATTACAGATCACACACATGTTACAGCTTAGATTAGATAATTTGAACTAAGAACGATTTATTTATTATGGGAATAATGGCATTACTATAATTTTGTATATATGTATATCTTATTAATCAAATTAGGATTTTTAACTTTTTTCCGTTAAAACGTTTCAAAAATGTTTAATAACACAAAAAACCAAAAAAAAAAAAACGAAAATTTTTATTAGAATATCATTTTTCAAAACAACTACTGCATACCAGTATTCGTTGTGCAATAGGAGAACTTGATCTTTGGGTTCGGTATCCTTAGTTTAAAGTGGGTTCTCTAAAAGTGATTGTTTTACAATACAAAACGACTTGAAAGATTTTAGATAGTAATGGCATGGTAATAAATGGGACAAATTTTAAATTAGATTCGTTATGAGGTTCAAAAGAGTTTGCTAATCCCATCTTTACTTATCATATGTTAGGCTCATTTTGGAGTTGAAAAGGGTTAAATTTTAAAGCGAAGCGGATTAAGTCAACCTTTAGGGAACCAAATTTTTTTACTAGGGCCTATTTTTACAATCTAGCCTTATTATTAGATGGGTCACTGACGGATTTACTACGGATACGACGGGCGGCGAGGACTTGGCTCCAGGAGGGGCTAAGTCGCCAGTGGGACCGTGCTTCAAGGTGGAAACAGGGCTTGAGGAACGTAATGCTACTGAATGGATTACCGACGAAGAGATGCGGGCGTTGTCGTGGTCTTCACAACTCACAAGGGGTCAACAGGAGGAGGTCTTACTCGAGCTCTGGGACGGAGGATGGTGATGACATAACCATCATCAGTAACACTGACTCCGTTTCGCTGTCGGGAGACGGTGGCACTAGCACCAGGACCGTCAGTGAAGTTGGCTTCAGCAGGATTAATCTGTTTACGGGTGAGGAGTCAAGGAACCAGGCACGGGACGCGCGTAACAAGCTACGCAGTGCTAGAAGGAGGCTGCAGCGGCTATCGCTCAAAACCCCGGAGGAGCTTAGTCCAAGCACGTCCAAGAAAGCGAAAGGCACAGCT